TGATAGTACTGTACTGTACTGTACAGTACAGTACTGTATACTGTACAGTGTACAGTACAGTGTACACTCAGTGTACTGTACACTGTAGTCTGCGCAACATTACGTTATCATTTTGCACAGCTGTCCAATGTCCCGTCATGGACTGCTACACTATTTCGTGTTGGTCGTTAGCTCATTTTTGGTATACCATATTGAATGTGGGTAGGACTAATTAGGAACCCACACTATTCGTTTGTCCACACTAATTGCCGTCGGTCGTGTAGTCGATTTCGTTGATCTCCTTCCTTGTAGAAGAACATCTTCTACTGTCTGTACTGTATATTGTACTGTACTCGAGGAATCGATAGTCCTTGTGTTCTGCCACCTCCTTGTTATGACGCATGCGCATGCCGACTAATGAAGACCCTCATCCACTCTAGTCTAGACGTCTAGTACAGTACTACAAAACGTTGCAAACGCTGCGCAATACTGTACTGTACACTGTACACTGTACAGTATTTACTGATGGTTCTTGTGTTCTGCCACTTTGTTATCGCGCGTGCGCGGACTGACGAATGAAGATCCTCATTGACTCTAGTCTAGTACTACAAAATGTTGCAAACGCTGCGCAATACTGTACATAGCAGCATGGAAAGTGTATACTGTAGACGTACTGTCCGTCCGTCACCCACTCTAGTCTAGTACTACAAAACGTTGCAAACGCTGCGCAATACTGTACAATGTACATAGCAGCATGGAAAGTGTATACTGTATACTGTACTGAGTGGACACGTACTGTCACGTTGCCACCCAACAGATTCGCAGGTCATACGCTGTACACTGAGTATACTGCATTCGATTGAAAATGACGTCAACCGCCAACCGTCATCAATGGAAGCCTCATTCGTGTTTTTGTAGACACTGTAGTCAGTGTAGTGTATTTACTGATGGTCCTTGTGTTCTGTCACTTTGTTATTGCGCGTGCGCGAATGGACTCATGAAGACCCTCATTGACTCTAGTCTGGTACTACAAAACGTTGCAAACGCTGCTCAATACTTTACTGTACACAGCAGCATGGAAAGTGTACAGTATACATACACTAGACCTGATCATTTTGCATAACGTGCTTTAGTGTACTGTACACGTACTATCGCACCTTTTCACCCTACAGGCTCGCAGGTCATAGGCAGTACACTGAGTACAGTACTACAGTGCAGTCGATTGAAAATGACGTCAACCGCCCAACCGTCATCCATGGAAGCCTCATCGTGTTTTTGTAGACACTGGAGTGTATTTGTCACTGATGGTTCTTGTGTTCTGGCACTTTGTTATTACGCATGCGCAAGCGAACTCTTGAAGACCCTCATGGACTCTAGTCTAGTACTACAAAATGTGTCAAACGCTGCGCAATACTGTACAATGGTCATAGCAGCATGGAAAGTCTATACTGTACAGTGTAGACGTACAGTACTGTACTGTCGCACGCTGTCACCTGACAGGTTCGCAGGTCATAGGCAGTACCACTGAGTCCCAGTGCAGTCGATTGAAAATGACGTCAACCACCAACCGTCATCAATGGAAGGCTCATTCGTGTTATTGTCTTGTAGTTACTGATAACTGGGGTGAGGTGAGGCGAGAATCCCGCTCAACCGTGGTATGAACCATGGTCGAAATTGTGTTCAATGCGTCAACCGTACCGAGGGTCAGTTTACACTAGACAAGAGCTCGCCAGTGAATTTTGATTTCACTGGCTCCAGTGGACAATTTGCCTCCAGTAACTGTCTTCCATTTTCATGCTGAAATTGATATTGCAAATGGTCAAGACATGAATAAGAATCGTAAAAGTTTACATCGTCAAAGCGATGCATTAACACTATCAGGTAAGCATTGCTTTATCATCATCCTTTTCGTCTATTTTGTCATTTTATTTATACTTTGGTCATTCATCCAGTACTGGACAGTAGGGACCCGTCTAGGTAAGGGTCCCTATATCACAGGCTTTGCAAAATGCATACTCAATGATTTTACTTTATGGCCTGCTGGCCTTGGACTGCATCATTTACAAGATAGTTATAGTAGTTTTTGAAGTCAGTAATGCAAAATACGACATGCTGACGTAAACCAATACAGACTCTTCAAGTTAGAAACGATTTGCCCTTCTTTACTGTCGGGGGATATACGACTTGCATGGTCAATTGGTCATTCACTGACGATGGACGAATGGTCCATCCAATCAACTGTAATAAGCAATAATAATCTTGAACACAATCTTCGACAACAGCATGGAATGGATATCATCATTGATACAATTACTCAAGTGATCTTGAAAAGGGTACTGATGTCTAATTCATGACTTCAACATAGGATAGCTATCATCAGTTTACAGTGTCAGTGTTGTACTATTTTCCTTCTGCACTTTACCTGCCAAACCCTTGGGTCTCTATCTTGTTGATCACTCCGGCTACAAGGTTGATTAAATTGAACACCATCTTCTACCAAAAAATTGCATTGCTGCATTGATTCAATTCGTTGCTCAACTTATATTAACTGACTATTGTAAAATAAAGGATATTGACATATAAGTATTACTCACAAAGAGAGAGTCCGTGCAGTGGCATAAAATTCAACGTCAATGTTAGCGTTAGCAATCCCTAATTAATGCCTTTGATATAATACTAAACCAATCAGTCAATCATCTTGTCAATGGATGGGTTCTACATTAAATAGTAAGTGGTACGGTAGTCTATGGATATTCTACTCTTTTGATTGTTGCATTTTGAAGTTAAACCAAGCAGGTTATAGCGTTCATGAGGTTGAATTAAAGCCCCACTTCCTGGATAATTTTATTGTTACAATTAGCCAATTTGCATAGGTAGTAGTATTCTACTCGTTGCAGCCAATTATAAACAATCACTTTATGCTATCTCAGTCGACGAGAATTAAAAAGTAGATAGAAAGAGTCAATTAGTTCTTTGAACATATGATCTCCATGTACAAGTATTCTCTCTTTTTCCCCTGGCTGATGCTTGTTTTGAGTGAAAACCTTTACATACAGTCGTATTTTATACTGCTTACTGTAGTAGAGCAGTTGACGACAATATTATTTTAAGAACTAGTAATGGATCTTTTGATGAGGGGAAATCGTCAGGTCTATCAAAACGATCGCTAATGTATAGTAGTAACCTGAATAGAATAGATGAAAGAATCTACCTACATTCCCTTCACAGTTATATTGAAAATAGTACACCGGCTTATGTACACATTTCATTATAATAAATAAGATGTTTACGTTTGTTAGCTAACTTTTACTTATATTGCACAGTAAAGCAGACAGGCAATCAATATTTTCTGTATGCTTGCAAATGGCACTGCAAAAAGTAAGCATGGACGGGGATTGATTAACTTAGGTAATCCATTGGTAGTCCGATTCCTACTTTATTGCTTGACTTCATTTATCCTTTTAAGTTGGCGATAGTCAGGTTAATGTGCCGCAATGCCGACCAGATCATCCAACAGTCCTTAAGCTAAAGTAATATCAAATGTTGATTTGAAATGGGCAATACTCTAATTACTGTATATGCAAACATTGAGATAAGCGTCCATTGAATATTACAGCACTGTCATGGCGAATCTGACACAAGCTACAGTACATCAAAGTCAATCATGAAAAGGGTAAAGCCATCAACTACCAATCAGTAGCCCATGGTTAACTTACCAATAAAGAAAATAGGGTGGTTATCATGCCATACGGTAAACAATTGTTAATATACCAGACATCCGTCACTGCAATGATCGAACATCGTACAGTTTTCTAATTTCCATGGCTTTGTCAACTTTTATTTACTGTAATTAGAAAACTTTTTTATTCCTATCTTTTAAAGGATCAACACATATTTTAATTTCTTTATTCGATGCTACGCTACTTTATGTCATACAATACAGTATGTCATTAACTGTAATCATCCAACATTGGTTTTATGTCTAGTTTAAATTCGTTTTAGTAATGCTGTGTGATAGCATCGCAGAGGCTTTGCCACGCACATGTACTTCTTTCATGCAATCGCTGATTCTATGGCCAGACTTACTTGTACTGTGCTTAATTATTATTATAATTATTGTTTCCATCAGTTGTTGAGCATGGGCTATCACTAATACATTAATTGAATGCTTATTAATTATTACATAACAGCTTGACCTGGGTATCGAAATAAATTGCTATATCAGGGCGGGTGCAATAATTATAATTATTAATAATTTTATTGAAGTTACTTTGGGCGCTCTTACTGATGGATATTTGAGGCAAAGGGAGGGAAGCAAGATAGTCCAGTGACCGAATTTTAAACATTGAGATCATCGGTGACGTGCGATAGAGCGGATATGTTCATTTCTAGAGTATAGAACACGTTTGATGTTTCATTAAGATAGTCAGCCAGCACCTAAATAGTTTAAACGATGTTTGTTTTAATCAACATATTAGCGTCTATAATACACTGTAGCATGTATGAATGAATGAGTACTAATAATATGGAAAGGTGCGTAAATATTACATGTACCTTTATTAAAGCTGTACAGATGCTGCATTCTAAAATATTAAAGATCATGGTGTCTAATGACTGATATGTATTCTAAAAATCAGGTAATTCAGATCTCGAAAAATACATTAGGATAAAGATCACGAGATAAAGCGTATTTGACGATCTTTAGCATAAGAGTATCACATAATTTTTAAACATTCGGCTATAAATAGCTACGTATACGAAATATTTAGTAACTGTTATGGCAACAGTCCACCCACATTGGACTGAACTTCTCAAAATTGAGATATTTACCGTAGCATAAATTTTCCATATGCAACTCTAGAAGTGATTTTAAGTGATTACACGTACGTATGTATCGCTAGCTAAAGAATAATTAATTAGCTATCTTTCTTAAACTATGTAGTGAGAAATAAAATTGTTAACTGCACTATCTGTAAGCTACTATTGTTGTAATCTCGAATAATATTGTATTATTCAATTGCATGTCTGATACAGATACTGCTATCGTGAAACATATAGATAGTAAAGCGGTATAGACACTCTGGAAGCAGGATATTAATTTAATTTTATTCCATTTCGTATTGCAATATCTATTATTCAGGTTTTACTACACCGTTAGACATTCGAGAAGAGGAAAAGAAACCTATTGCTCTAACTAAAGTTGCGCCAGCTATTAGAATGAAATTTGCATATCTTACAGGTAAGATATAGACAAGTCTATTGTATTGTATTTGTTATGTCATTAAGTAGTAGTAGTTACTAGTTAAATTTTAGGAAGCTGTTGCATCTTTTCGTATCGTAGGAGCATCGCTACAAAGTGTCACTTTATTATTTCATAACATTATAGGAACTCGAACCAAGACTGGATGCCCTATTTTATCAATGCCATTATTTAATCATTTCGGTACTGTCGTTACGGATGATCTTTTGAAGGAGGTCATTCAATATTTTGTTGATAGTACTATGTAAGTTGACGTGATGATCTGTTACAATAACTGTAACATTGGATAATTCTACAAGATACTGTAAATAAATTATAATAGTTTTGAGCAGATTTTTGCTTTTAACTTTGCAGGGTACATAGCAGTAGCAAGCGATTCGCTGTTGTACTTGATCGTAGATCGTCTTCATGGAATTCTGTTAAGTCACTATTGCGCAAATTGCAGGTAGGTCTGCTTAATGTATTAAACGAAAAGAGCTTAAATCTTTTCCTGGAGGGTTTTTAAAAATGGACTACATGGTACTTTTTATGTTAATCTCTAGGAGTTATTTGGCCGTTACATTGATACGCTATATCTACTTAAGCCACAAAAGATGATGGCAGTACTAGGAGGTGTATCCAAGTCTGAATTTTCTTTTCAAGTAAGTTACGTAGCAAAGGTGCTATTCATTCGGAAATTTATTTCCTAAACGGTTCTAAATTATGGCGTATCATTATATATCCACTTTGCTATGCAGATTATGCTATTAAATACTATTGATGAATTACATCAGAACATTGGTGGTATTTTCCTAACTCAAGAATTCGGTGGATTTCTTAAGTTTGATATAAATACTTGGCTTAGTCATAGGACCGTAAGTGATGAACTCTTATTATTATCGTAAATAAATATTTGCGCCTCTTCTTATAGTTAGAGTTGGCTTGAAAGCAATAAAAATGAATTAGTTAAAATACTCTCCTAGTTCGTAGAAGATGTTGAAAGCAAAGCAAGGCTATTGTTAGCGAAAATAAACTCTTTCGTTGGTTTCATTAGCCATCGAAAGAGCCTTATATCTGACAAGGCGGGCACATTGACGGAGACTACAGAATTCTTGAGTAAGGCGTTAAATGGTCAGCGTAGTGATTATTATAGCATTGTTGAAAAAATTAAAGAATTGACTGAGGAAGTAAGAAAATTCAAAGATTCATTTAAAGACCACTCTAAAGAAAGCATTATAACCAAAAGCGGGTAAGTTATTTAAATGTTGATTAATTATAATTATTAATGATTTAGAAGTTGTTTTATTTTAGACTGTATTAAATAATTAAACTTGTGTTATGTGTAATCAGTATCAACTTGGATACTATATCCAAAATAAATGATTTACTGGCGCGATTATCGGATACTCGTAACGACTTTAAAAAGAAATGGGTAAAACACGAAGATTATGGTATCCAGCTGTTAAAATTATATAAATTTGAAGTTGACTTAAGTGAGGTAAGGTAGATTGTGATGAATCTTAGATAAAAAGTATGAGCCATAATCTTGTACCAGTTTTCTCAAGATTTGATTATTTGTATTTAGATGGCAAAGAACATTAACATTGTTGATAAAGAATTGTCAGCGGAAGTTAATTTGGGAGATTCTATTGATCATGCAAAGTTACTTCGAAAGATTACGACTGAATTGCAGATAAAATTTAAGGTATATTACAACATTTTCAGTATTTTAAATTGGTTGAAATAAACTAATTTGTAAATTGAATACCATATTACTATTTGTGCGATTAAAATATCAATCGATCACTTCAATACATAGGATACAAAGATGACTTTGATGAAAGCTGGAAGCGAAATAAAGCAATTAAATTCTGATGACAAAAGCGTTGAATCTGAACGTTTAGTAACTATGTGGAAGGAACTCGATACCCAATCAAATAAACTAGAAGGAAGATTTAAGGCGCGATTAAAAGCTTTATCTGATGTCTTGACGTTATATGAGCATATTAATGATGTAAGTATGCGTATTTGGAAAAAGATATTCTTTCATTATACGGTTAATTTGTGTAATTTAAAATGTTAACTTCTTAACGGTATACCACAAGATCGATAAATGGTGTTCAGAAAATTTAATGAAGCTGGCAATGCAATTTCGTACTGAATTTCCTGTCGTGGAGCAAAAAAATATTAAGAAAGAATTAGAAAAAATCACAAAATCTGCAACATCCATAAAATCTGATCATGTAGAAAAATTACAGGAATTTTCAGTTGACCATTTAAACCAGAAATTTAAGCAAAAGATACAAGATTGCGTATCTCACTTTAACAAAGTTACGTTAGCTAGTCAGCGACAGTCTACGATGTTAGATAAGTTAGCGGCTACAGCAACAGAAGAAAAAAAACTGAAATCTGCAACCAAGCGGTCTGTCAGTGATAGCGGACCAGCTAGTTATGAGCCAAAAAGTCCTTTGGCTAAGCGAAAGGATAGTACTTTGCCTTCTAAAACTTCGACGACAAGTAAGGCTAATAATTCGGTTCCTGTAACTGGTGATCGTGAGGCGATAATATCCCGCTTGAAGGTATCGATTTTTATCCCCAAATTATGAAGGTTCTAACATGTGCGAATTATATAATATTAATGTTCTACTCGCGTATGTGTACTGATTTGTTTAGGAGCATCTTGTTAGTTTACAAGAAGACGTGGATACTGAGACCGACCAAGATATTTTACGTAAACGAAGGTAAAATTAGATCACAGTTTATAAACCTCTGCAATTTAATTTATTATTCGCGATAACATTGCCTACTGCTTGGAATAAATGATTTTGTTTGTTTCCAAACAGCCGAATAATGGATGAACTTATTAATACCGAAAGGAGCTATGTCAACGACCTAGAAAGTGTCATTGGGGTAACTGTTCTCTAGTAAGAAATGACATTAAAGTAATGGCATTGATGTTTTCATGTTTTTGTTTATTATAAATTAGAATTACATGAAACATTTTGACGAAGGCAGTTCCACGTTACCAACTGTTTTAAAAGGAAAAAAGAAAATTCTATTTGGCAATCTAACTCAAATTTACAGCTTTCATCATGGGTAATACTTTTTTCTGGTGTAATTCATTCTGACTGTAAAAATTGTGTGTTATACAATAATTACTTTCGTCGAAATCTTAACTTGTGACTTTTACGTTACTGGGTGTCTTGTAAAGTTCTTTCTTAAAAGCTTTAAACGACTATCGGCAATGCCCGGCGTTAGTTGGCCAGTGCTTTCTTAAATTTGTACGTAGACAATCATATGTGTATACGGTATAAACAATATAAATCTTACATACAAGTCTAATATTATACTGTAGAAGCCGGAATTTGATAGCTATTCTGTTTACTGTCAAAATCGCCCCCATTCGGATTCGTGTTGGGAAACACATGAAAGGAGCTGCGCAAAATTTTTTGACGTAAGTGAGGATAGTGCGTCCATGCAGCGATTCTAAAGTATATGTTCGTGAAAGATTCCTAATAGTTATGTACATCACTGTAACTTTCTCATTTATGTATAATTTAGTATTCATTAGTGATGAATGATAGACTTGTGTTTGCTAATGAATCACGTAGTTAATAGAATTTACAGCTCAATATCAATTCATTTGCTTTAATATTATAAGTTTTCTAATCTTTATAGACGTGTAAGGCCAATGCGGGTCATATCTTGCCCTTAAATTCTTATTTACTAAAACCGATACAGCGTATTACGAAATATCAGTTATTACTGAAGGTTAGAAATAAACGATTTACTTTCGTTATAGTGAATAATATTGGCTTAATATTCAATAAGCATAATTTATTAAATTAGGATATGACAAAATGTACGGGCAACTCTAAGTTTGGGTCAGTTATTATCAAGGTAAACTGCCTGCTTATTCCCTACTGAAATCTAAGATGTTACAATTTATTTTCTATTAAAGGTGTAAATTATACTTATGTCTTTAGGAAGCGTTAAGATTTATGCTATCCTTATTAGAAAGGCTGAATAACACAATGCATCAAATGCTGATTACAGGATTTAAAGTAATATTTGATTAAAATTCAGAAATATCATGGTATAACGAATTGCCTTAATTATATATATGGTTGAATTTTTTTTCTTTTTTAATTAGGGAAATCTAACGTCTGAAGGAGCCATTTTGATGCAGGTTCTTGATTAATATCTTAGTGATTATAATCCTGAATTTTTGCGGCTTAAAAATTAAAAATTATTACTTTTATAGGACTCATTCCAGACACATGAAATTTTCAAAAAATCTGCAATACCTGCTAATATTCCAGGGCAACGGAAAAAATACAAGCCAAGACATCTTTTTTTATTCGAAAATAATCTCTTATTTACTAAGAAATTAGTTGATGAAAAGCAAAAGAAAAACGTATCATATCAGTTTAAGTCAAATATGAAGGTAGCGATAAAATTACCAGTTTTTTGCTTTTAGGATTCTGGAAGTTTTTCGATGTAATCAAGCCTAATATTGATATTTTTACAGCTTAGCAAGCTAGGATTGACAGAGACAGTAAAAGGAGATCAGTTAGCTTTTGAATTATGGCTAACCGGCCGTGAAAGGGTCGTCATTGTTCAAGTATGGTGTCTTATTGTTTCCTCGTTATAATGATTCATATCACTTAGGCGTTATTTCGGTTATACATTTTGCCTATCAGTTGACTGTAACTTTTATATTAAAAGATTTTGTTGATTCAAATTGTTCATTAAATTGTTGTATTACATATGCTTGTATATAGGCTGCCTCAGCAGACATTAAAAACAGATGGGTTGAGCAAATTCGACAGTTGCTGCTACATCAACTGAAGTCGGCAAAAGGTTGTTACTAATTGAAGAGCTGTCGTAGTGTAATAGTAAACATGTAAGAGTGGTAGTACTTTAGATAACATGACTTTAGTTAAGATGTAATCTGTACAATACTGCACTATAACTATCTAAGACATGTTATAATAGTGCTTTAGTCTCCAAGGAATCTATTTGCTTGCAGTACATTCTTTTACCAACTGTTACTGGTCCTAAAGGCAATGTTTAAAATTTCATTTCTTTCGATATTTTTTTTGTTAGGACAAGCTAGGGCTATGTCGTTCAATGGTGAGTCTGCAACTGTGCCCGTAATTTTTTATAATAATGTTTAGACGATAACTTCAGTAGTACCACATATTTGATTGTTAGGATGTATAATTATTTTTTATGACGATAAATTAGCTCATAAGGATGTTAAGAGTAATCAAGGACAGCTATCAACGCTTGCTGCTAATACGCTAGCAGTATTGCCAATGTTTGCAGACGGGAATAGCGATGCTGAAGATATGTGGTCAGATAGTGAATTTGCAGATGGCGACGATGAAGGTTTTGATTAACTCTAGAGGACAATAATTTTTATGGCGATTATGTCGACTATATTTTAGCACATGCTGTTGATGTTGTATTATAAGCATTTGTTTACAACGAAATGCAATATTTGTAATATATATTCAGTGCATCGTTTACTTCGTTGAAACTCTGTCACGATATACCATGTAGCTTTACTATGTCTGGAGCTGTTTTAAGATACAGCTTGCTATCAGAATTACTAAACGATAGCTACGACGAGTTATAAATTTTGTTGGTGCTTTCTTTTAGATTTCTTTTGTAATATAATAGTTATGAAAGCACTTTTATAAACAGTACGATAAAATATTGGATGATATTTTGATCACTGGGTTATGAGCCTTACATCGATAGCTTGCCAACTTTTATTTCAGATTATTAATGTAGTCAGATCTTAACTTTCGCACTTTCTGCGATAGTTGACTATCATGTTATTTGTTAATTGTAAGTTACATTATCGTATTGATAACAAGCCTCACGTTTGTTTTATGGTATTCGCCACCGTATGACTCGATTTTTAAAAAATTTAAAACATTCAGTCATATTAGTATATCTTGGTATACCAATTCCAGTTGTAATTAAGAAATGTAGTTATATTCCTCAATGTATAGGATAGAGCGTAAGGAAAATTAATAAATTTAATGGCCTCTTAGGACAACATTCTATTCTAGAAAGGCTTAGGAAACTATCGATTGACTTAAGAAAATGAAGCATTATTTTACGAATTACTAATACCCCAAATTTTGTGAACTCTTTTGTAATGGAGCTAGAAATTTTGATTAATATCTATGTTCGTGAATCTCACTCCGGACATACGCGTGTGGCTGCATTCAATGTGTGTTATCATTAACTATGACTATTATCCGTATCATGGTAGTTGTTCCTACAAGAATATCTAGTGATGAGTTAGATAATAGCTTATTTCTACAGAAGCATGAACTGCGCGAAGTCATGCACCTCAATTTCGTAACGATTGTGATTAGAAAGGATTGTTCCTTCGATGATTTTATATTGATTTATGATGGTTACAATTTTCTCTAGGCAGAAAAATAAAGGTCCTAGGGAACAACAGTGTAGTTGCTCTTGTATATCCTATAAATCAGATCCTAAAAATGCTATATATAATTTAGAGAGCAGTTGCAAAGGCCAGCTATGAGGAAAATGGATTGTTTACATCTACACGAGTAGTTTGCTTACCAATGGAATATGAAGTCGTAAGGCATAGTACGGTTGTGTTTTTAATCTTTCTATAGAAAGTTAAATTAGAATAGGTCCAACATATCGTCCTAGATCTAAATGACGATATAATTCTTTATGTATGGTAACTAACATAGAATCATTATAAGAGCACCATATCAAATAAAAATTTTTACAATCGCTGAATACTCTACAATCTCATGGGTCATATACGTGTATGAACAACAAAGGGAAACAGATTCCATTAACGATAATTTAATGAGGTGATAGATAAGTACAACATAAAAACAGTCGAAGTTAAATTTCTTAACAGAAGTAGTTCTTACAATACAGAATAATTAAATGTTGTTTGTTTGTACGACATAAAATTAAAAGAATATTGTCTGATATGTGAAATATTACAGCATCTACAGATACATATTAAGAAATGATAAATGAAAACTAAAAATTTTGGTACAAAAGTTTAAAAATGTGATATAATACATCCTGCATAAAAATTATAATGTGAAAGGAATCCCCTTTAATAACATTGACTTACTGGTTAAACTTATCAATCTAACCAACGGTAATTAAAAATATTGCCATATCGACTGTAAATCTTAAAAAGCAGCACCACTTTGCCAAAATCAAACAAAGTTGATAATTTTGTCATCTTACGGCAATCCGTTTAAATAATTATAGAGTAGTAAAGTCGTTGATCGTGATAATGTATCACTTTTTCTCTATATGCTCGTACATCGAACAATTATATGATTATCAACAATGTTAAAGATATATGATCGCTATCCCGAAAATCATTACTGTTTTGGTCTATTTTGCATTATGCTTTAAATGCCGATTTGGCTTGATAGATTCCTGTATAGATATATTATTTTAGCGGATAAATGTAATTGCAATTGCAGTAGGGTATTATAAGTATTAACAATACAAATTATTATTTGAAACCACTTATAAAATTTTCAAATTCGACAACTAGAATATCTTTGGATAATTATTTCAATCTATACAGCCACAGGTAAATGAGGAAATGCAAAATTATTAAAATATTTTGTGCCTACATAGCCTGTTCTATCTGTCAATACTATATTATTAGTTCTGGAAAGTGTATAAACGAAAAAATAAATGAAATGATATGATATTCCACATTAAAATAAAAAGACTTAGCTGTAAATACTGATTTATAGAATGACTATGTCAGCTAAGGATAGCATTACAACGATTTACAGTTTAATAGTATATCACTAACTTATGTTCACCAATTCGACTTAAAATTTAATGCAACGCAATGACTAAGCTAAGATACGAAAACTATAGAGTAGAATCAACCCAGTTATATTTAATTAAACCATTTGAATTATAGTCAGCACATGGTGAGGTGCGTAAATAGATTAGGTGTTGAATGATTATTAAATGAAGTCGAATACATTGCGCGGGTTTAAATTACAAAATATTTTACATTCCGCGAAAAGCGTAAAAGTTTCGATCACAAGGATGGATCTGCATCAACGAAGATTTTATCATACGAGTAAGTCATAAACGCATCTGAGTCAATCTTTCTCTTGCACAACGAAGGTGCATACTCGTATGTTCGGTAAGAACATATTTGCAATATTGTCCCGTTACTGTTCAGCATTAATTGCTTCATACCAAGTGGAAGCCCTATAATCAAAAATGCCCTTGTTCAGAAATTTGCATGATTTAAAAAAATACAAAATTGAATGCTACAATATTCTGATAAGCGCTCTATTTAACTGCAACTGTATCTCTATGACTGTAACTTGAATTATTTAAGAAAGTATACACAGTTAATAGCACTTTGGATGCACAATAAATTACTGAGCTAGTTCTTACTTGTTTGTCCGTCATATAAGACGATGGTTTAATTACTAAATTATGATTTCTTCACTAGCAGGCGTAGAAGATACGGGTGGACTATCGGAATCATTATCATTCCTATCCCACATTTTATCGTCGAAGTATGATTCATTACTATAGCTTCCAGGGTGTAAATGGGTAAGTCGCGCTAGAAAATATAGGAAGAATACATCTAGGTAAGATTTAAAAATTGATCTTAAATTTCTATAGCAATTTGCTATCCCATTTTAGTTTTAATAAACGCATAAAAGTATAATCTAAACAAAAAACTTTTGACAGTAGTGGGTGTAGTATAAGTTATTACCATGATAAGAATTGTCCGATATTAGCTTACCTTCGGTTTGCTCCGCAACAATTCCTGAGGTAAACAAATAAAGCATAAAATACTTTAATTAGCTCAGAAGGCAATCAAATGCTATTATCAAGTTAAAGTCATGGTATTTTAATAGCTGAAGAAAGTACAGTTTGATCTATTGACAAATAATCATTATTTTCGTATTTAAGAATTTCTTTTGAAAGATCAATATACCTTTGATCGTAGTTAATTGATTAAATAGAAGCTGCCTAATTTCATTAACCCAACTTTCTTTCTCTTCTGGAGTGGAAGCCTGAATAGATTTAGTAGTTGTTAATAGCATGACACAGCAAAATTAGCGCATAAAACTATGACAACAAATCTTACAGCAGTTGTAATAATACTGCAGATTAGGCTTTACCTGAATAATGTAGACCTTGGGTTGTCCAGGCATCCATATTTCGAATGCCAGAGGTTGATTTTTGGCACTTTCCGTCATCCCGATGTCACAAGTCTGTAAAAATAGAAAACTACTTTTAAGCAATATACGTTCGTAAATGGCCTTTAACGGCTGTAAGCATTGTATTATTACCGGTGATTTTTAAATATTAGCCTGGATTATAGTACATATTAATTAGAGCAAGACCTACTTGCTACAAATAATATTTAAGTACCTTTAAGTCACTTTTATATTTATAAATGTATTTTTTACTGCCGTCATCGTAACATTCTTCCTGTTTCTTCGTAAATAGTATCATTTTTTCATACAGAAAGACATGCCTTTGGGACTTATGACGGCGCACACTTAGTCTAATTCCACGTTTATTTACTTCACATACTTGCATGGATCCCTGACAATTTAAAGGTATAATTGGGAATAATTAAACAACGGAAATTAATACTGGATTGAGAGCGTATTAATGAAATCAACGAATATAGATATAGATATAAATATTATACAAAAATCGAGATCTTAATACTACAGACTGCTAAGCTACAACATGTAGTACAGTATGATTTTATAAAACATTGAGCTAATTTGAACTAAGCATTGTTGATTGGAATGTTTTATTGGTAGTCACCTTCAATGTACGCGCATAATTTAATTATAACTTATTATTTGGACTATAATTGTATATCAGCAATAACTTCGAAAATGTAGAAATGCATTAATATTTTGTCTTAGAGATTAAATTATGTATATAACATATAGACTTTTACCTGTAATATGAGACCTCCCTGCACTGCAAGATTACCCTATTGACGAAATATGTAATGATTGACAATGCATTCCATTTAAAAGCTAGTCATGGCAATAAATTCATGCGTGCTCTATCTAGACCATCTGCTTAGTTAAATGGTGATGATCTATTACAGAATCAATTGTAATTATTCGTATTACGACGACGATTTTACCTTAAATCCTTTAATTGCTATCTGATGCATGACGTCATTAGACTGTTTTAGTAAAATTTTCAAAAAATCGAGAGCGTCCTAAATAGAGATAACGTGAAAAATAGAGTCGTATGACTGTTAGAACGGTTAACTCCATAAAGTTTGATGAGGTGTATGAAAATATTTTTGTGTTCTGACTACTATGGTAATAATTATAATTAGCAGCAATCCGCATCTACGCTTGATACTACTCATATATATCGGCATAATTCTTCTATATGAAGAATTTACTTGTCATAGATTTGTAAAGTCTACTATGTGAAATTTAAAAATTTTAAAACTTTTTCGTTAAGTTTACATCTTTAAAATAGCAAACTAAATCGTAAATACTCATTATTTACCTTGAGATCGGCTGACCCACATTGTGAGTTCTTAGTATGCTTAAGTAAATCCTACCATGAAAGAAATATTATGTAAAGATTAATTCTTTAACGAGGATGTTTCTTCATTTTTGTCTGCAGATTACGTACCTTAAGTAGAAGTCCATACTTTGTTATTCGTTGAACTGGTTTTATCAAGTAACTGTTTAACGGAAGTTGTTGTTTAAGTTTTGATTGGCACTCCTAAGTGATTAGCGCAACAGTAACAATACTTTAATTAAATAAAATTAGATGGTTTGTTACAACAGTAAAAGGCATTTCAATTTTTGCAAGAATTTATCAAGAATTAATAAAAAAATGACAATATGATTATTGTGGATTGTAGATTTACTAAAAAAAACGGATGGTCTATGCCTCCAATTTCTTCCCATAGGGCTTCAGAACTTGGTCTATTCTTGCAGTAAACGGTGTACATTTTGAATTCATTTTTCTGTAAACATATATGAGATAGCAATATGACCGTTAAAATTTTTGTAAGTGTTAGCTGGCATAAGAGAAATCATCTATAACTTGCAGGTATTTTGTTAAGTCAACATGTTACGTACAGTTCAAACGTTAAAAACTCATCAATTACGAACTGACCTTTGCTGTAAAGCACCGTCCAACTAAGGCTGGTATGTCACGATGTTCTTCCAACTTTTTTAGAAATACTCTGTATCGCATTTCGGAATAGAATAACTCATGAGATTTGTATCGGTAATTTATAAAACAAATTTTTAGTTATTGCACCAGATTTTGCATTGAAAGAAATTAAAAGATTGTATCAAGGATGCACTCTTAATAATTGTTTCTTTCATTTAACTGCTGAGTACAGAAATACTAGTTTAGGACCGAGTTGGCCAAGCAAATAGTAACTTCGTCGTTTACCTGTGATGAAAGTTGTACAGCTGTCTTATATTGCCAAATAAAATATTCTTTTTACCACGTATAGCTTGCGGGAGTTTTGCTGCAGGATTATCCATTTCGTCGTAATAACCCTATTAATTGTCAAGGGTATAACTAGCTATTCTCAAAGCAATAAATTTTGCAAGATGTACCGATGTACAATTTATAATTACAGTCAGTTATTTCAGAAAATGAGACAGTTGTTACCGTTATAACGCTTCTTAAGTCATTAATATAAGATTTTTCAGTTTCAATAAGCTCGTTGATAATTTGTCTATTCGAAAATTCGATAAAATTCTTATCATATAGCAAAGATTTAAACGAATTATGAACATAAAATAATATGAATTTATATTAGGATATAATCTCGAATAAGAGGTTATGTTAGGCTATTACTCATATATTACCATATCAGAAAAAATTTTTATATTTTTATTTAGCCATTAAGTTATTATTAAGCCCAGTATAAGAACAATTGATATCAGAATATTGAAATAGGACTATTTAAAGTATATAAGATAATTTATATTACATTGAAACTACAGTTTAAATAGCTAGATCTCAACAGCTAAGCGATTATTATTCAAGTAAAAATGCCAAGAGTTCACAGTAATCAATTTAAAAGAATTTACTGCCATTCAAAACAAATTCCGATGCACGGATGTATCTTTTAATTGTTGTCCATGATGGTGTTATAATATGCTAGTATGATATCTATAATAAATTAGATACTTACCCTCTCTGTTTAAGAACATTTGCGTCGGTTTCTGTGTCTACTTCATTCTCTATAATTGCTTGCAAACTTTCCTATTTAATAACATTCGAAAAATTTTAATTTAAAAGTTCGAAAACGAGATTCGGATCGAGTTGATTTTTACCTGCAACGTTTCCACTAAAAGTGCAGAGGAAAGTCTAGATGATAGTAAAACCGATTTTCTTTTATAAGCATCGGTATCTCCTTCATTATAAACATCTGCTGAGGATAGCAAATGGATGTTTGTTTGACTGGAGCTTCGACTAGTTAAAGCACTATTAGCAATGCTATAAGGGGCACTTTTCGGACACGTTCCTTCACTCTCTTCAACAATAATATTATTGCCATCAATTGAAACTGTTCGTCGTCCCACATCGGTGTTAGATCGAACAAGATTAAATGATGGCTGAGATGAAGGTGACACCAAATTCTTTATCGAACCTCGATTTTGGACAAGTTGCCGGATTGTATTCCTTCTCTTACCACACATACCTTTGACTTGAAGATATCTTTCTAGTGCTTTCAAGGCATGAGAGTGAATATCTTTATCAGTTATGAAAGGATATTTCTCTTCAGTGTCTTGTAATAAATTGATGTTGAACTGATTCATTTTTTCAGTGCAGTCTTGTAATCTTTGCACCCATTCTTCAGCACTATCTTCTGATTCAAAATCGTCGACTTGTTTAGCTAACAACGTCACCGTTTCATTACACCACTCTAATACCTATAAAGTAATCAATTATATGATGAGTAGTGATTGCTATACGTCTAGCCTACGACAAACCATTATCAAATAGCTAGGGAATGCAATGATGTAACCGGTACCATTATGGATTGATATGTGCAATACCAACACTACATTTAGTAAATGCTGGCAGCTCAAACATGTTAATTGCTAACACTAAATAGGCATACAATACAATGCCGTACCAAGATCTCGACGTTTTAGTAATATAGCATTATACAGCTTTTATTGATCTATAGCAGGATAAGTGAAGGATAAACGACTTACTTCTTCTATACATTGATGTAAGGCGAGTGCTGCCTTTAAATTTTGTTTTCTTTCCGTTAATTTAACTGAAAAATCCTGCGATGCGGTTAATAATCGATTCAAACATGCTTGTAATCGATCAGCTGCGTAATGTGGTCTTTTCAATAACTGTCTTATCTCATCTCCTAAACATAACACTCGTTCGCAAGTAACCTGATACGAAAAAAGTGCACTTTAGTTATTCTAGATTTTATTGGAAGTACATTAAAGATTACTAAGATAATTTAATGTTTGTAGTCGATTTTAAGGAAAAATTTTTTAACTTAAAAGATTATAGTCTAGATGCTTCGAAATAGCCACTGAAGAGAGCATTTGGAATTCGTTTACAACTTACTTGGGCGTTACTTTCAAACTTTTTCAAATTTTTCAATAAATTGTTCGTACGCTTACTAGAATCACCAATATCTACTTCCGATGTGAGGACTTTAGCATATTCAGTCAACGATTGAACCAACTAGGTTATCAATAAAACGTTACAATTAGTTATTAATAGCATGGGGAAAGAAGAATGCAATTTTTGAGAAAAAATGATAATATTATACGTTTTAGAACAATAATAGTATTTATAACCGATAATATATTAATTTAGTACCATCATGCAATAATATTTTTTATTACCAGGTTAGATCCAGTTTCACACTGCCTTCGTTGAAAGTGTTGCGTTAGAACCGAAACTTTGTTTTGCCATAAATCAATAAAAGCTACTTTAGTTTCGTCCAATTGTGCTAACAGATTTTTCACAATAGAAACTGTTGCTAAGAAGTCCACACTACATAGGATAGAAGCAAATTAGCATAGCACATTGTTAGGGTTTATACAAACAGTTTCGGGGAAATGTTAGTAGAATACTTCGTTCAAGTAAGTAAATGTGACGTAAAATACTGGTAGCTAACATTACCTTGCATCTTCAATGTTGACATTATCGCTATTTTTGCACGTGTAATCGTCTTGAAATGATTCAATATCTTCAATAGATAATTCCAGATCTTTAATAAGCTGATCTTGCTCGGTTCTTTTTTTATTTAATACATTCTCGATTGCATCAGTTGTTTCATCTCCTTGATCGAATAGTCGACCATGTTTGATAACATTTTGGCAGTCGATAGATATCTGGGCAGCAAATTTCTCTAATTTCGATGATATATTTAGACCACGTCGATGAAGATGTTCTAATTTCTGAAGTATATCGAGTATGTTATCAAATTTACTGTTTGTAGTCACTTGATATAGCTAAAATACAAGATTGAATATCTGTACTATTTCGAAAATATATTGACTCAAATTTAGTTACTATAAAACATTAACTCTTATCGGTGTAATACTATAATTACGACGGGGCTTCTATAAGTTGTATATCACAAAATTTCAGAGCATTCATTCAACCTACCATGCGATGAAGGATCCAGAAATCGTGATCATAATTTAAGGTACCTCCTAGTTCAGTTGATAGTTGGTCTATATTGATTTCTTGATGTAATTCTTCTAATGAATGTACATAAACAACCTAAAAACGTGATAAAGTTGAGATCAAACACCTTTAATAACTGAAATATAAAAACACTATTAAGCTGACTATCAAACTTCATTGCATAATAGTTAATGTATTAGTCTTAATATTCTACTGTTTCCACGAAAGCTTACATTGATTGAGAAATTTGGTCTTGTTGACTGTCTTCCAATTTCCGCTAGTCTTTTCTTATAAGTTTTCGGAGATCTGAGTACATATAACTTAATGATTTCTGTTGGAAATAAAGTCTACATTGAATAGTGGAAAAAAATGAATACCCAGAGATTAGACAAATTCAGTTTTGCAATTTAAATCCAGGCTAAAGGATGCAGGTCATCCAAATTACTTCAATATACCTCAATGGTCCGTAGTAATGTTTTAATTGTTACAGATGACGACTTCCTTCTATCCAAAACGAATACAAAGCCATTCTCCCGGTCATGCTCACTAATTAAATAAATATAAGAGTTCTACATTAATGTCTACATACAATTATTAATGTTGCTCTCTAACTAAAATATACACTGCATATCCATCTATAATTTATCATCGTAATAATAGAAAAAATTTATTTTAATTATGCACTATGTAATTACCTAATAGACCGCATTAAATAACGAATAAGTATCTCTAATTCTTCTTCAGTAACCGTTTTTTGATTATCATCTGAATCAAAGTCGAATTTTTGGCTAGATGCAGGAAAGATAATTATTGGTGATCCACAATAACGACCACCTACAGGAATACAGATTGTAATTTGATTAAAATTACTGCTATAGATTATATAATTTCTCTCTAAATGATAATAAATTTTATGACGTACAAATTGAATTTTAATAACTATATTTATTAGACAGTAAAGTTAAACTTTAATTCATTGAATTTATGGCACACTATAAGCATGTTGATGTATGTCAGATAAAAATTAAAAAGCTTTGCAATTTTAGAATCAACATACCTGATAAATATGCATATCGAATCCGAAGGATGTCTACAATTTGTTTAGCGGATGATGGACGATTGGTACCTTTCTCCTGAACAATTTCTACAACCAATAAATGCGGATCAATATCAAATCGGTATCAAACAATTGTAGTTTGAATATATAATCTATTTGTTGAAAAATACACATTTGATGATTCATTCATAAATTTAACTTTCGCTTCAAAAGGCCTGTTATTATTGCTGATCCTTACTTATAGATCAAAAACAAAAAGTATTACTGTCGCATATCTATCAAATAGGAGATTTGGTATTGTACTATAGTCTGTATATAAAATCATTGCATTCCTGTTTCTAGCTTAATCTTTTACCTTCAATGGCTAATTAGTTATATTTATGTTTTCTCGATAATAATATCATTTTACTGGGCAGCCGTTCAAAATTTGTAGCACTTTCACACAAACCAGGTATGAACAAGATCGGGTAAATTTATTTTCAATGTTCAACGTGAGCTGTATTATTGTCGATTACTAGTATATCCCTCGTTCGTTATGCTTCGCGTACTATTGTATACGTACTTCCCTGGCTGAGCATATTACATGCACATAAATTTATCTGATCATAATTATGATACATATAATGCTGTATGATTATAATCACTAGTAGGTACCGCATTTTGTGCGATACCAATCTGCCAATAAACGATCTTGCTGCTAGATTAATTACACAAATGGCAAATGATTGCCATTTGATTCGAAAAAAATACAATTTTCAAAATGGTAGTAGCCGTACTCGCCAAATTATATTTATCAGACACTATATCCGAAACACATTTGTTTTTACTACACTTCTAAAGCAGCTACGACAGCATACCCCTCTATCAAATTGGTGTATCACTCCATAACTAATCATTTAATTTTACTTTTAACTACTGTATTATTATACCTGTCAGAATTATAGCTAATTGTGAAATGAACAACTTGTTCTCATTTAAATCCTAATTTAGCGATTGCCATTACTGACCATATTTAGCGATCAAACAATCAGAGTGGTTGGTCCAATGATAATATTGGTGCACGTAAGTAAAATAAATCAAATACGCCAACGATGTTATTTAAGGTACGACTAATGTCAAAAATTAGACAAATCAAGATGAAGATGGGTGGGGTTGATGGAGACTAACGTTTTCTGCACTCCACAATTATATGTAGTATTTTTGAACGTAGTTGGCTAAAATGAAATATGATACTGTACATTAGAAAGAATAAAGCAAAGCCGTGAACGATTTCTACTGCAGTATCAACAAATAAAGGATGCAATGGCCATATTGTACTCTTCTTAACCGTTCAACGTTCATTTTATACCGTACGTAAGGGACAATGAAATGAATTGACCGACAAGATGTGTGACAAAAAATTAATATAATGTTATGATAACGGTCTTATTTCATTCCATGATAATAAATAAACAAAACTAAATAAATGAGCGAGCCAAAATTATTTCAGGATCACCATGTGCATGTCTATGATGATTATATACTGTACAGTATATAATGAATCTATCTGTCCATTCAATAGTGATAACAATACGTCATGACATTGTATTGGGAGGTTTTATGCTTTGTTTTCTGGTCTTTATTTTTTATTTTACCCAGATTCTTGGTGATTCTATGGTATATTTGCCTACTTTTTCATTAGAAATACTATCATGACAATACTTTAAAATAACAATTAGGGAAGTATCTTGTGATGAGACGTAAAGCGAAATTTTTTGACCGATGATCCCAAAATTGGACATGTAGTCTTATTTATCCAACAATTATTTTCTGTTAGCGAAGACCAAAAAGTCATTTGATAGACATGTAGTAATCAACCAAGTCAATGACCATTTGGTTTACATGTGCGGTACAACAGAAATAAAGACCATTGGATCTTCTATATTCGATAATGACAGGATTGCAATTAAAAGCTATAAACAAATGGTCATCAGTGTAGTTTAGTAGCACAAGAATTGGATTATCACCTTCTTTCGTACTCCGCTGCATTGATAAAACAACATATAAAAATTGGCATAAGCACTTAGGCAGTTCAAGCGTGATCTTAACGTAGGTAAACTAAAATGCAACGTTTCAAGAGAGTAACGAAAAGCTATGGTTGAATGTATCCTATCAAACAAAAGTTCAAACAAAGACTGCGATAAATGATATTTCATGGTTCATTATAATTGTTTTAGTTGATTTTTGTGAAAAAATTGATTGTAGATTCACAGCATAGATATATTTTAATTATCATCAACGGTTAGATCACATTCTTATTAGTTGCTACATAAAACCATAAAATGATGATATCCTAGATGGAGGTACAACTGATTTTAGTTCGATATCATTAACGTACTGAGACATGAACGGGTGATTTCAGCCATGGGTGGGTTTGTAGATTATCGCAGTTCTTTACGGGTTGATTTTATAGTAATGGGATAATTGGGTAAGTAGTAAAGAATTATCGGACTTTTAATAATAATTAAGCAAGGACAGTAGCGATGGATTAATAGCATCGATATGAAAGCGGCAGCAGAACAATTCCGATTTCAAGTTAGCATTCTACTTCAACTGCACAGGCAATTTTTATCGTTAATCGTGTTTGTTGAAAGGAGTCGACACGATGAGAAATTCAAGGTAATAAATAAAACTTGCGTTGTCGTAAAGATGAAGAGTAACTGAATTTTACTATTAGACACATTGGCCAGTTGCCTTTAGTTTGGGAAGCGATTGACAATTCATGAGGCCATCAATTACTTAAAAAGAAGTAATACTATAAAGAATGAGATGAGCAGAATTACGAACTGTATAGTCGATACGAAGAAACGCATCACCAAGCAGTTTTCCTTGTCGATTGATTCTCTTTCTACATTGGCTTCTATTTGCTACTGTTGTCTCTTACTCAAGCTGAAGATTACAGTTTTTAAGGACATCGGAATAACCGCCAAAAGAGTAATGTAATGAAAGTGCTTACTAAATTAGTTTTTCTTGAATTATTTTTTGGTCTTTATCATTGATATTTCCTAAAATTACTAGACTAGAACAATGGTTGATAATAATAATAATATCGTCTTTCCAATGTTAAAGTAGAAGAGTAATAAGAAAATAGAGAATGCAAAAAAGTAGATAGCAACCATTTAAGATCGATTAATGGTTAGGAGACTTTTGTTCAAAAGTCCTAATTGAATTAAGGCTCATCCTGTGCTAGTATGAATTGATGGGTGGATAGGGGACAAGATGGTCAATAAAACGATAATACAATATTGATCCTTCCCCACCCTACAGTATTTGAATGTCATGTCATTATCCTATTGAACTAAAATGTCAGGTATCATTTCAATCAAGACGATCAGTTATGCAGTTTGATGTATTCCTTGTCAAAGATGACTGGTGTTACGTTTTGCCTTTTTTTTGTCGACTACGGTATCCACTCGTGTACTGTATCAATCACCCAAGATATTATCTCCATGGGGGGGGAAAGGATGGAAAAAAAAATTCAATCTTAACTTCCCTTTCATTGCCTGGATAAATGACCAATAGAACATTTTGTACTGCATGTGAATTAGTGATGGCAATAACGACTGTCAACTGACTACTGATATGACGATATCGACTAGTAGAATTCTAATTGATTATTGGTCTTTGAATTTCTTGAAGATTACCTTCGCGTGTAGGGACTATAGTCCAGCTTTCTTCGGGTTTATTACTGATTGCTCTCACTCGACTTGCTGGTGATTTACTAGGATGGTTATGGCCAGGCCATTGGCTACCATTCCGACGCGAATTTAATGCCATTTTTTGCTAGGTGATTGCATTCAGTAATCAATTGAAGTTGGAGGTCACTTGTCCGGAAAGAATCGTTATTCAATCAACAATTAACAACCTACTCGTGTAGGATTCTCCTTGAAATGGAGTATAATGATGGTGTATTAAAATAGCAAGCAAATTGCAAGTCCCTGCTATGGATTTCAAGTCTTTGAATTTTCTGGCTTTAATTTTATTTCACTGAAGAAGGGATTATTCCATTCAAAGACTACCGCCTTTCTGGAAGGCAAAAATGCACTTTCACTGCCAGCTTGGTGAAGATAGACGAATGGAATCAATGGTTGTAATGGGATCGATTGGTGATTTCAACAACTCAGATGGTCGCAATGGATTGAAGGATAGCGTAAATTGCATCCAGGATCAAGCAGAAGAGCAATTTAAAGCATGAGTAAATGAAATTTTCCGAGTTTGGTCAATGAAATCCTGATGCAAATTCACTGGTGAAAAAATTTTCATTGATCGTCATGGACGATCGTGGCTGACCCAATGGATGTAGCGTCAACAGCTTGAGTTGATTGCGTCTAGCATCCAGTCGACAATCAGTACTCCAATGGTTGATTGACGTTGGAGGACTAAGTTAAATGCTTGTAATCAACGATTGCTATTAAGTTACAAAGATTAAACAACTTGTAATCATCGATTTAATGAAAGAAGTAATGAAAACAAGAACAAGTATCCAACTTGACCATGACAATAGTCAAGGCGGAAGCCCAAATAGAAAATTGAATCCCTTGCAGTCAATAACGTCTTCTCTTTCTGTTTCAATTGGGTACGGCAATCGGGGTAGGGGTTGGAAGCGAATTAATCGCATACTCTACACGGGACTAATAACAGTGGCAAATGTCTGTGCAGTACAGTGTACAGTACCGTGTACAGTACTGTACAGTACTGTAGTGTAGTCTGCCAACTGCTGGCGAAACAGCGCTGTACTGTAGTTGTGTTTACCACGATACCGATGAAAGCTTTTACGTCATCGTACAGTACGTACTAAAGCCGTAACGCTACAGTGTCCAGTACTGTACACGATACTGTACACTGTATGTACAGTACTGTACTGTACAGTACGTTCAAGATCAAACGATCTTGATGCACTTCACTCGCACTGTGACTCTGTGAGTGACACGTACAGTACTGTACTGTACACTGTACAGTCAAGTATCGTGCGCAGTACAGTAATTATATTACTGCACTGTACTGTACTGTACGTTCAAGATCAAACGATCTTGATGAACTTGACTACAGCACAGTACAGTACAGTGTACAGTACCATCAACGATACGCTTGGTACTGTACACTGTACAGTACAGTACTGTACTGTACAGTATGTGTCACTCGCAGTCACTCACAGTGCGAGAGTGAAGTGCATCAAGATCGTTTGATCTTGAACGTACAGTACAGTACATACTGCACTTGAAAGTGTTGTGTCGGCATCATCGTCATACAGTACAATGTACTGTACTGTACATTGTACTGTAAAGTACTGTACTGTACATTGCAGACTCCGTAATAATACTACTCTACTACCAGCAGTGTGCGCCTTCCGCCATAGCAGATCGATCTTATTTCTACCAGATTGATTGAATTGTGGCAGTCAATATCCCATAACGATGGATGAAGAAGAGCTACAGAAGAAGGAAATGGCTGATAGCGATGAATACGAAGATAGCGCTAGTGAAACATATAACGGCAAATCGATGCAGGATACGCGAAAATATTTCGATGATAGTAGCGATGATGATGATGAAAAGCAAGAGGAAAAATCGGGTAAGAAAGGACTCCATGCGATCATAAAGGAAAACGCAATCTTATACCTTCCTTGTTAGTGGTTACACATGCTCGTGCAGCTAGCCGAATAACTTAAATGACAGACATTTTCACATGTTGCAAAATTTCAACATGATGATGATCTGTGACAACGTTGAAAGATATTTCCTACCATGTAGTTTATAGAACCATGTCCCCCAAAATACAAACTTCATTTCGTTTTAGCCTTTGCGATATAACATACTATATACTGTAGTACACTTGTGATGCATTTTGATGGCTGCGCCATCATGGCAGGTGGATCCCGTAATTCAATAAAATCATCACGGCTAAAATTCGAATTTCAGCTATCATTCTAGTTACAATAGTCGGTAGTTATTAGCTTTGGAGAGAGTATACTCGTACTCCGATTTTCAAAAAGCCCACCAATGGATATGAATGTACCAAAGATGAACCGCTAGGCTACATTGCGATCATAACAGAGAATCAATTTTTCCCTAGTACAGTACTAGAATGCTGCAAAGACCTCTACTATGACAACTCTACTATGCTCGTACTCGCACTCGTACTTTTCCTTAGAAAGAGAAACAGATGAAATGGTGAAGCCAGCAGTATTACCTTATAACGCGATCGTAGATCTGTAGATGACGATATCTTAACAAAGTCTTATATAATTTGACAGGTGCGGTGAAGAGCGAAAGCAGAAAATCCACGGATAATGCCACGTAATGATGACAGATATCACACATTAATCGATCTTGAGGCGCTGTAACATTAGAGTGATAACATCTGTTTTATTGGTATCATTGATAGGCAAAATGCTGGCCATTTAATGGACGAAATCTTTGGATCGAGCGATGAAGAAGAGTTCGAGGTTGATACGGATTAGTCTAATATAAATAATAATAGAGATGACCATGACACAATACTGTAGTTTGATCACTAGTTTAGGACGATAAGGAATAGCAAGTAAGATGTTTACAAATGAATCTTGTCGATTATGGATAGTAGATGATCTAATCTTGTGCATCGATTATTAATTATTTTTAGGGCTTTCAAGATGGTGATGATAATTTCTTAGCGTCATCTGGTCAGTATGAACAGCATTGCATTGTATTTAGAATCATTACTCCGTTTTAGTGCGCTTGTTTGGTATTCTTAAAATCAAACTCAATAGGGTGTTGAAACATGAATTGAATGTAGATGATAAAGAACTGCACAAGCATTTGAAGAAGATAAAAATGATGAGAAAATTGCCGAGGACGCTTATGAAAGGGATCGTGAAGATGATAAAGCTGACGATGACGATGATATTGCTTACCGTGAGGATGAATTTCAGGAAGGAGATGATGAAGGAGACCAAATTCAAGATGTAGAAGATGAAGAAGCAAGATCTTTTTCCAAGTAAATTAATAAACAATTAGGCAGCCCTTAGATGATGATCAGTTTGAAAATATGATATATAAAAATCTTCAAAGATCAATTTGTTTAATATCTTAAGTAGTTACTTTTGAAAGGTGATCCGTTTATACCAAGTTTAAGAATGAGTTTCAGCTGTGCGCAACATATTACGGCCAAATATTTCAGTGGCGATAACGTATCACTACCCAATAATTGTTTGTTATTGATCGGAAGTGCTTGACTTTTAATGTAATATTTACTGTTCTTGATACCGTTACCTTAGCATCATAATATCTGAAATAGCGTAAGCAATGATTCTTTCAGTAAATCACCAAATTTAAATTATACCCTAGTGATTTCACTACTTAACATAGTATTCGCCTTCATCACGAAGTTACGATAAAACTTGTCACAAATATCGTACATTCATTACACGGATGTACGTGATATGAAATTATGATGCTTTCACTCCCAGTTAAAATGTATCGATAGCTACTAAATAATATTGTCTACAAAATGGGTTTCTATATTGAACTTATTAAGATTAAGAATTGCTTTATTTGTCATTACAGTCAAACTTCTATGACCGATTTTGAAATTATGATAGAAAAGAAAAAAAGGGTATGGGCTGCCAAATGATATAATTGTTTAGCTTGTAATCACTTTTGTAATACTAGCGACTGAAAATGGTTTGATTTACAGATGAATAAAAAAGGAAGAAGAAGAAATGAGGTACTTGAAACAATACCATTTACATGTAATATTCTATACGCATTAGGCTTAATATCAGAGATAAAGCATATGATTTATATTTATTTATTTAGGATGAAGATTTAACAGGCTTTGATGACAAGGTTAAAGCTGTTGTTATAGAAATGCATGAAATTGCAAAAGTAAGGATTTCAAGAAACATCTTTTCGTGTTAATGCCCTTTTAGCTTGGTTGAATAAGTTTCATGAACAAAATTTAATGTCATTACTTGTAAACTTTGGATTGCATCTAATAGAAAGATAGACATTTAAACAAAAAGGGCGAGGCTGCGATCAACAAATTAAAACATTTGAGTGCTGTCACAGAAGATCTAAAAAAGTTTGTAATTGCTTAAAGCATTTACTGCAATGTTTGCATTACTGTATGCAGAATGATTTATAGATACTATTAAACTTTTTGTTTCTCTGTGGTTAGGCTTGAACTTTTGAGCTATTTCTTAGAAAATGGTATACTAACTGCCATATCGGTTAGCTATTTTTCTATTTGATTTGATTGCGGTATATTCAAATAATCATGTCATATCTTTAAAATAATCATAGGATTGGCTATCACCACTTCCGGATAGGTCATTGCCGAATGTTAAGATACGTTATGAAATGCTGCGGATTCTAGACAGTGTAAGTAGTTGTTGAAATTTTGATATCAACTTAACTTTAATTTTCTGTAGAGATGTCGACAATGCTTGAAATAATGAATGCATTTTCTTACTTTAGTTTCCTCCAATTGATACTGTGGCACTAAAAGAAAGTAAAATAGGAGGTGTAGTCAATTATTTGAGCAATCATCCAGAAGAAACAAAAGCCAACAGAGAGCTGGCAGATAAATTAATTAGTTAGTAATAAATGATCTATTAGCTAGAAGATCTCATTCTTATCGAGTTGATAAGGTTAGGATGTGACAAGAAATAATCATTGCTTATACTTACGATGATTGCACTCTGATTTAGAAAAATGGTCTCGTACTATATTTAACTTGTCCACGGACCTAAAGGCTCTTTATCGCGAAGAGCGAGCTAATCGATCCAGTGTAGTACGGTATGTTGATATTTGAAATTGCAATATAAAGTAAAAGTCTATTTTTGATAATTTTGCATTTTGATGATTTGAGCAAAGTTTATAACTCCGCATTTGTATATTAGAGACGAAAGGAAGAAACGACGTATTAGTACGGACGATAGCCAGGGCCGAATCAAGTATTTATGACACATTATTTCGTGCTTATTTGTCAAGTCATACTATAACTTTATACTTTTACAATACTAGACCTGGAGAACCAGGGTGGATCCAGCGTGCACGTGTACCTACTGCCTCTACGACTGATTATTCTAATCGGCCATCATACAATGTGGAAATACCACTTAGTCGTAAGGTAAAGTTAAGTCAACATGACGATGTCAATTACCTTGAAAGACCGTTTGTTATGATGTGTTATTGTATTGAAGCTCAAATACTGAAAGTAATTATTACCCGGCATCTGATTTTTTAGCCATCGAAGAAAATCCTGAATCGCTATGAGAAGCAGTTACTGAAATTTAAAGACAAGCGTAGCAAATCGAAGCAAAATTATAAAAGTTTGCCTTTCAGTATCGAAGGAAGAAAGCTGTCAATATAAATCTATCTGCACACGTATAACGTCTGTTGAGCGATGAGGGCATAACTCATAACTCAATCATTTATTGGTAGAACCGTTAGCATTACTGTAATTATTAATTAATAATAGTTCAAATACTGTAAATTAAGAACGGTGCTCTAAAATATGGTACCTTTAAATAAAATTTTTTTTGAATAATAAAGTCGATCAGTGGTTTACTGTAAGGATGATTGTGATGTCTTCAATCATTTACAGTATTTGGCATTTCATTTAGGATTACAGGTAGGATATTTCGTCGGTTACGATTCTATTGCTAGACTTGACAACTTGCTATTACACTAAAGTGAAGTTTATAGGAATAGAAATGCTAAACTGATGAATGGAAGGCTAAATGTGGTACTGAATAATTCCATGAATGTAACCTGTATCAATAATACCATCATTTTTAAAATTAAAGGTTATTACTAGCTTGTACTGCTATTATTAGTGATTTAGCCACTTTAGAGAGTGCTGTATGCCCTTGACGTGAGGAAGCACGGCAAAAGAATAATAAAATCCCTGTATGTAAGCACAACTGGCGTAAAACACTTGTATCATTTACTGGTTATGATGCTGTTATCCATGTATCAAATGCAGAGCGTTTTACGTCTCCAGCCAGTGAATATTATGCGTTGCATATTATACCTTGTTAGTCTATGGATGTGTATCGTTGTGAACTTTTCTTTTGTTATATGAGTGCCTTTATCATTGCTATTCCTAACGCGAGTACAGTAATCACACAATAAGTGTAAACTTGTAATAAATACTAGCTATTATAATCGATCGATCTTATAATAGGAGTCGATCTATCTGCTGTAAGATACGATTACTCTTCCATCCATATCCAGCATAATAAATTGGCCATTATAATTTATTAGTTATAATATCCAATATGGGCGTATTAGTACTACACGTTAACTTCAATCTCGCCATACAGTAGACCAATCTACAGTACATGACAGGATAGAGCACGGTTGGGCAAATTTGAATATTTGTTGTATAAATATCGCTGTAGTTCAGATAGATTGCTCTATCGGTTGAAATGTATTACAATAATAAATTATCATGCAAATACTACAGCGCTGTACTATACTGTAGTGGTGGCGTGAGTGAAAGATCTTTATTGGTATTTATTGTACCCCGACACCCTAGAAATACTATACAGCAGGCCAACTCACAATGTACAAAGTTAGAAGAGGTCAATTTCCGACCATTGCATATCATGCCAGACTACACTGTTGTTCATCTTTCCAAGTTTTGAGCTAGCTATGGTTTAACTTGAATAGTTTTCAAGTAATTCATTACAAGCTTCTTTGGAGATTTTGAACATTCAGTTATGCTCAACAATTTTGCCATAACATTTAATATTCTATTATCAACAACGCTGTATGACATGATCCCATCAGGGAGACTGGGACGAGTACTGATGACCAATTGATTATTTTCACAATCAACTTTGACCCAATGTGCATGCAGTAGTGTACATCATTAAAACGTCTTTGTGTAGCCATAGACTACAGGGCTAGATTAAAAACCTTGTAGCATACAGAAGATCGGTCTACCTGATCTCAGCCTGGACATTTCTGTGCAGCGAGATCAGCATCCCGTCCTTCTCCTTCATTTCTTTAGTACTGTACACAGTATCTTTTAGTAGTCCCTGCCTGGAAGCTACTGCGCACTGACAGCCGTCGCTGCTTCCACTGTAGTTTGTACTGTACTGTATTAGAATACCTAGTACTGTAATCCATCCGATATCAACAATAGGATTGCACTGCTGACAACACTAGTACAGTACTGTACAACTAGGGTGCTGTACTGTAGGTACAACACCAGTTAGTATACCGTACTGTACAGTCTACAGTAAGGAAATGTACTGTACTGTACAGTACAGTACTGTACTGTAGAGATTGAAAAAACAGGACGTACAGTACTGTACAGTATTTTAGGAGTCCATGCCTGGATGCTACTGCGCACTGACAGCAGTCGCTACTCCAGTGTAGTTTGTACAGTACAGTACATGTGTATGGAGCACTGCTGACAACACTGGTACAGTGTACAGTACAGTGTTTCACCTACAGTACTGTACTGTAGTCTTGCACTGTAGCACGGACTAGGAAAGAGGACTGGTTCAGCACTGTTTGGGCTCGAGTTTGCAGAAACTTCAGACTACAGTACTGTACTGTGTTTCACCTACTGTACTGTGGTCTTGCAATGTATCACAGACTGGGAAAAGCAATCAGGGCTAGTTCAGCAATGTTTGGGCTCGAGTTTGCAGAACTTCAGACTACAGTACTGTACTGTGTTTCACCTACTGTGGTCTTGCAATGTATCACAGACTGGGAAAAGCAATCAGGACTGGTGCAGCAATGTTAGGGCTCCAATAATTCAACACACCATTATACTGTACATACTGTACCGTACAGTACTATGTACCATACTACTGTAGTGTACAGTCAAAAGTATTCTGCAAGGCGTGGCTCTGTACTGTAGTGCTGGCGTATCGTAGTGACTATCAGGCGACACCAGATCAATTGCTGCAGTTTACAACATCGATCGTTGTTGTTAGGAGATAGACAGTCGGAGAGTTGGACATTGCATTCTATCAAGCATGGCTTCATCGGAAAGGACCAATGTAGTCGATCAAAGTAAAACAGACGAAGATCCTGAGTTAGACAGCTTGCTGGATAGTAAGTCAATAGCTTCTACTTAGTGTACGATGTTATCCATTGGATGGATTGAATTGAAAATGGTGCAGAGTTTCACATCATTATCGTTCTGGCAAAGCGTTAATCTAATCTAGTTGTGCTATTCTACCAATGTTGTTCTCATCAATACTTGATATCAATCTGTGTCCTAGGCGCTTTACAAGACTTTGATAGCTTCAATATTGACAATACACCCGAGAAAGGACAAACCAATCAAATACGAGGTGTCGATGCTAGCGATACAAGCACGCCAGCATCAGCTGCAACCATGCTTGAGCAAGGTAACATGATGCAAGGTGAGATGCAAAATTGGAATACTGCACTAAATGATCAGATGATGGCTGAAATGGAAAAAGTCATGCAAGAGATCATGTCAAGTGAAGAAGGGAAGAAACTCATGTCAAATCTGGAAGGCATGGCA